GGGGCACGCACCGCGCCGGGCCGCGGCAGCCCCGGCGCGCCGGCGGGAGCGATGGCGCCGCGGCTGCAGCTGGAGAAGGCGGCGTGGCGCTGGACCGAGACGGTGCCGCCCGAGGAGGTGGCGCAGGAGCACATCGAGGCGGCCTACCGCGTCCGGCTGGAGCCCTGCCAGCGCGGCGCCTGCCGGTACCGCGGCGCTCCGAGCCCCTGCTCCCTCCCGCCACGAGGGTCCCGCGGGGCCGGTGCGGGCTCCCCCGTGTTCCCCGCCGCGGGACCCCGTCCCCGGGCTGGGCCCTCGGCAGCCGCCGTGGCCTGTGTGCTCCCCAGGGAGGGGCGGCTCCCTCTGTGCCTCTCTGCTCAGACACGGCACCGAGCCGGGCTGTGGGGAGCCCCTCTGGCTTCTCTCATGTAGGGGAGCTCCCCTGGGTGGTGGGAGACCCTCCTCCCAGCCTGGCTCATCATGTACACGGCACCACCCCGGTGTTGTGGGGGACCCGTTGTTGCTGGGCTCTTCAGAGATAGGGGAGCCCCCGTGGGGTGGTGGGGAGCCCCTCTCCTTACTTGTCCCTCCCAGTTTGTAGGATAACCCCGGGGTTGTGGGGAGCCCCTCTTTTTGCCTGGCTTCTCAGATGTAAGAACTAGTCCTGCCCTGTCTGCCTGGCTCCCCATTTATGGGGGATCCCTGTGGCTGAAGGGAGCCCATCTTGCCTGGGTGTACAGCACTCACCCTGGAGCTGGGGCAGGCCCTGTCCCTGCCTGGCTTCCCAGACATAGCAGTTCACTTTGGTCCCGTATTTGCCCCTGGGATCCCCTTTTTTTTTTTCCTAAAACCCCTTCTGGTTCTCCTTCCTCACCCATGACCAGTGGTTTTGGGGGGGGATGTTCCATGCCTCACCCCACTCAACATTATGTGCTCCCCCATATCCCCCACTGTCACCCTGCCAGCCCCCAGGGGACACGGGGGTGACAGCTGGGGTCTGGCTCCCCAGGAGGAACTGCAGGGGGAACCCCAACTGCCTGGTGGGCATCGGGGAGCACGCGTGGCTGGGCGAGATCGACGAGAACAGCTTCCACAACATCGACGACCCCAACTGCGAGCGCCGCAAGAAGGTACCCCCCACCCCCCCGGGGCCAGGGCCACGCTGGGGACACGCCAGGTGAGCTGAGCTGGCCCTCTCTCTGCCCCCCAGAACGCCTTCGTGGGCCTGACCAACCTCGGCGCCACGTGCTACGTCAACACCTTCCTGCAGATGTGGTTCCTGAACCTGGAGCTGCGGCAGGCGCTCTACCTGTGCCCCAGCGCCTGCGGGGACGGCCTTCCCAAGGACTCAGGTGTGTGTGGGGCTGCTTCCCTCCCGAAAACCCACCTTGGCAGTGGCATCATGGGGAGAATTCATGGGGCGAGATCCAGCCATTGTTTGGAGTCATCATCTGGATTTTGGGAATGAACCAGCCTTAATCCAGGTGATGTCCTGGATCAGTGATCTGAGCTGGTTGGGAGCCATCATGTGGATTTTGGGAATGAACCAGCCTTAATCCAGGTGCTGTCCTAGACCAGAGTGATCCGAGCTGGCTGAAAATGATGGTTTGGTTGGGTCTTGCTTCCCAAGGCAGCCCAGTGATGTAATATATGGGTCAGGGCTGGTCTGTGCTGTTGCAGAGCTGCCCTTATCCTGTGGCAGGGCTGAAATTTGGGGCCCACACAGGTTTAAGGCTTCCAGGTTTTTCTGCTCTTGGGTGCTTTCCCCAGGAAGACTCTGGGTCAGCACAGCCACCTCAGCTCTGCTGCTGTTTCATGATGGTTGTAAATGATGTTTCACCTTCTGGGGTAAATAAGAAGCTGGGTTTTGGGGTAGTTGGTGCATGCTCTGTGAGCCCTTCACTCACAGCTCATGCTGGGCACTGCAGGATGGAATCCCTAAGGTTGGAAAACTCCTCCAAGATCATCAGATTATCCAACCGTGCCCTCAGCACTGCCAAGCCCAGCATTAGCCATCTAGCCAGGTGCCACATCCAGACAGTTTCTGAGCACTTCCAGAGGTGGGAACTGCACCACTTCCCTGAGCAGCCTGTTCCAGTGCCTGGCTACCCTTTCCATGGAGGAATTTTCCCTAATATCCTCCCAAGACCTCTCCTGGTACAATTCAAGGTCATTTCCTCTCATCCTGTCCCTTGTTCCCTGGGAGCAGAGCCTGGCTTCACCCTCCTATCTGAAAGTTGCAGAATGTAAATATTTACAGTTGGACTTGATGATCCTGAGGGTTTTTTCTGACCTAAATTATTCTGTATTTGGCTTGTGCTATGATCACCTACGTGATCCACTTTGGTTTTCCTACAACTCAAACTACCTTCCAAGCCCATCACTTCTAGTGGTTGTGAAACACTTGGAGCAATCCCTTCTCTCCCTGAATTCCTGCTGTGCCTTGTGTTTTCCCCAGACTATGAGCCCCAGACCATCTGTGAGCACCTGCAGTACCTGTTTGCTCTGCTGCAGAACAGCAAGCGGCGCTACATCGACCCCTCGGGCTTCGTCAAGGCGCTGGGGCTGGACACGGGGCAGCAGCAGGTGTGTGGGAGGGGATGCTGGCACTTCCAGAGGCTGGGAATCACCCTTGGGCTGTCACTGGGCAGCTCCCAGCTGGGGCTGGCTTCTGGGTGCAAACCTGAAGGGGGAGGTGGGGCTGTGGGCCCCTGCCTGAGTGCAGGGGGGATCAGGAGGGGACCAGGACATCAGGAGTGCCCAGGGGGTGATGGGAGGAGGCCAGGGAGATGAGGAGTCCAAGGAGTGATGTGATAGGGACAGGGAGATCAGGAGGAGAGCAGGGAGCAATGGGATGGAGAGAGGGAGATCAGGAGGGTCCCAAGGAGGAGTGGGATGAGGACAGGGAGATAGGAGGAACCCAGGGAATGATGGGATGGGGCTAAGGAGATCAGGAGGAGTCCAGGGAGTGAGGGAACGAGAACATGGAGTGATGGGATGGGGCCAGGGAGATCAGGAAGAGAGCAGGGAGACAAGGAAAGAGCCCTGGGAGTGATGGGATCAGGACATGTGACAATGGGATGATGATGCAGAGATCAGGAGGAGCCCTGCTGGGGCAGTGGGATGGAGACAGGGAGAACAGGAGGAGCCCAGGGGCAGTGGAATGGACACAGGGAGAACGGGAGGAGCCCAGGGCGTGATGGGATCAGGACGTGAAACAATGGGATGAGTACAGGGATATTAGGAGCAGCCCAGGGAGCAATGGAATGAGGCTGGGAGGTGATGAGTGCAGATCAGGAGGAGCCAAGGGAGTTTTGGGATGAGGCCCAGGAGCGATGGGATGGGGCCAGAGCTGCATTGAGGGTCCTGCAGGTGCTCTGTGGGCTGCTCCTCCCGGGGTTGGGTGGTGAGAGGGCCCTCCCAGGGGTGAGGAGAGCCTCGGGGGGAGGTGGATCAGGAGGAGCCAGCCAGGATCCCCGGGCAGCTCGTGGGAGGTGAGTGCTGCAGGGCCCTGTGGGGCTGCAGCTGGAGAGAGTCTGGGAGAGGGGCAGGGCTTGGAAATCCACTTGGAGAGGTAATGGGAGGTTTTGGAGCAAGAGCAGAGCACTGGCAAATGTTCCTTGGGAGGGTCAGGAGAGGAAGGAAGCTGACCAGGGACACCAAAGGGCAGCTGAGAGAGAGACCAAAGCTGTTTGTTTTTGGAAGAGGAGAACCAGGGCAGGAGAGAAGGGCCCTGAGCTGGGTGTGGGGAAGCTCTGGAGCGTCACCAGGATCACCCATAGGGCAGCTTCTCATTTTTGGGGTGTTTTTATTTCTCTTCTCACCTCTGATCTGAGCAGGGACAGCTGCAAAAAGGAGGATCAAGGGGCTCGAAAGCTCCACAGGAGGGTTTTTATCCCTTCCAGAATCCTGGGAGGAGCAGGGCAGAAGTCAAAGCCCCCAGCAGGGCTGGCAGGGAGCCAGGGCAGCTCCTGCTGTGCTCCCACACCGAGGGCCTCACGCTCCTTCTAGCCAAATTCCTCTGTTTTCCTTAGTTCTCCTGCCTGGTCTTTATTTTCCATGCCGTGCACGGAGCCTCGGCCCAGCCTGTGTGGAGGGCTTGGGGTAATTAGCAGTGAATTAGTGACAGGGTTGGGATTGTGCTGTGGTGGATTGTTAATGAACTTGGTTTTCTCTTTCAGGATGCCCAGGAGTTTTCCAAGCTGTTCATGTCCCTGCTGGAAGATACTTTGTCCAAACAGAAAAACCCAGATGTCCGGAACATTGTGCAAAAGCAGTTCTGTGGAGAGTATGCCTATGTCACTGTGTAAGTAATGATTTT